CTGTCCTTTGGTTCAGGAGAATGGGATGCGATCTGTCTTGCTCCAGGGTAGGACAGGTACTTCGTAAACTCAGGTACTTCAGGGGCCAGAAATCCTATGAAAATGGGCTGCTCCATGCTGAAAATGAATGAAGATCCAGTAGCACAGAAGTGGGATGGACTCAGGCCCCGAGGGTGCTGAGACCTAGCCTACATACCCATTGGTCCTATTTTAATGACCGTAAACCAGCTGTTCATGCTCATTTTTGCTTAAGCTGGTGAAGAGTTGGATTTCTGTTACTTATAATCAAAAGAAAACCAACAGCCTACTCTATATGGATTTTTCTTATCTTCCCAAGACAAGGAATTATAAGGAATTTATATCAAAACAACATGATAAAGTGGGAAGAACATGTACTTTGAGTAACACATTCTTTTTAATGCTGTTTCTGGCAAGAAACAACCTCAGAAAGGCTGTTTCTTTAACTTCATAAAAGAAGGTAATTCCTAAACTTAGTAATGAGGACTACGTGAGAAAAATGGTTAAGTGAGGATGTAAATGGAGAGTAGGAGTGTGGAAGCGTAATTTCCATTCCCCTTCGTTTAAGGTTATAACCTCCCCTGATTTCGAATTTACCTAAATAATAGTTCCTAATAGGACATTAAAAACACGGACACGATGTGGGTAAAATGAGTACTAGCACTCTCCCTTTCATCACATTTACTCCACCGTTTTTGACGTTCAGCAAAATTGTGATCTTGCCGTAGAGCTGATACAGAAGTATAGCTGTACAGAAATCCCTAAAAGGAGGAACAAAAAGCACCGTTCGGACCTCAAAACAAAAAGTAAGCAGAAGCTGTGGAAAAGGAAGAGAAAACTGCAGTTGGGTGAGAGGGTGCCAGCTGTCATTTACGGAGTGTTTAATGCAGTTTATTTACTATGCACATCATCCAGATGAGGAAACAGGCTCAGAGGGTTAAATCATTTGTCTAAGGTCGCATAATTGGGGTTTGAATCCAGGGTCTGCAATCTGAATCTTCCATGGTGGTGGTGGTGGGGAAACAAATGAAAAAGTGACGCTATGGATCCAGAAGACACCGCAGGAAACCTAGAGTTACGTATATAGATAGTGTCCTTGGAACTAGTTCCAAGGGCTAAGACTTGTGCCCATCAGTTGGAGCACCTTTCTGGGAAAATTGCCATCAAGCAGCTCACCAGTCTGCCTTGAAACACCAAGTTCCAAGCTAGCTAGTGCTCTCTCCACTCTTGATAAATACCCCTCACGAATGGCAGTGAAAAGTGGGAGTCACAGTAGCAAGCCAGGGTCAGGCATTAGGGCTTGCGAATCAAAGTGCAGTCTGCAGTCTAGCACTTTTTGCATCCAGCTTGATAGAAACACAGAACCTAGAAACCTGAGGCAAGATTTGTGAATCAGGACATGCTTTCTAACAATGCATGTTAAATTGCATGATGGTACTGCTTTATAGGTGAGACAGGGTGGGATTGTATAGAAAGATGTGAAGGGGAAGCTTGCAGAACTGCATGATGGGAGGGAAGGCATGCAGAGTGCCAGGTTAAAAAGGAGGTCTAAAAAGAGAAGGAATCTTAGAAAAATATCACAAGATGCAAAGGTAGAAAACCAGGAAATCAGAATCTTAGAAACTAAAAAAAAAAAAGAGAAACAGATGGGAAGGGGGCAGTAGGAAGCAGATCCATTTAAGAAAGTTAACAAATAATAAACACAGGTCTGTTATCTGAGGCTGCCTTTTCTGTATTGCCCCTAGTTTATGCTAGAAAGATTTAGTTCATTCAAGGAACTGGAGGGCAGCCCCTGCCCAATCCCCATGCTGTCAACAGTTAACAGACCTTAGGTTCTAATGGAGGGCAAGTTTTGGACTCTTCCTGACATGGGAGAACCAGGCAATGACAGAATAGTACCTTGATTGTCAACAGATTGTACTCCATAGATGGCCAGAGCTGGGGACTGGAGTGTGTGCATGTGTATGTGCATGAGGGCAAGTGAAAAGGCAGGTTGTTGGCAGATCAGACATTAACAAGAATCAGTGGAAGATGAACTGAAGGGACTGGGAATTGCTGGGCCTGGGGGGCCACAGAGCTGATGACATCTGGTACCTTGGGTGAGCCAGGTGGTAGGCCTACAGACCTTTGCTTAGGTGGGTGGTACTTGGAGTCAGCTCTTCTGGAGGTTTCCCGGTGACCTATCACTCCTTTAAATACTAGCAAGCTGTTGAGATGACAAGTGTTCTTGCAGAGGCAGGGACATGATAGGTTAGAATTAATGTCATGTCCTGGTTGGAGTAGTAACAGGTTTTTCTCACAATGCCCACAATATTTGGGGCCCAGCCACTTTGCACCAGGGGAGGTTTTGCATAGCATCCTTTCACCCATTAACACAGTGATGATCAATTTCTAGACAGGAGACAGGTTATAGAGGATCCTGAATAACATATGGTAAAATATGAAATACAGTGGAGGCTGCAGTATGGAATGGCAGCAGCAGTTCAAAAAGTTCTGGTATCTAGGACCACTCTGGTAAGAGTATGGGTAGCTTGAAATGAGGTCAACAGAACTGGTGGTGTCCCAGAGGTGTCTGGAATGAGGGTACAAGTCCTACTGGTACTCATACGTCTATGCTT